ATGGAAATTCCAGAAAAAATGACTTGAAACTAGTGAAGTATCTACTGAAGAAAAAATTGACCTTATAGAACCAGTTCAAATGCCTGCTACTGAAGAAGACATTATGAAAATTCCAGAAAAGATGCTTGATGAAACTAGTGAAGTATCTACTGAAGAAAGAATTGACCTTATAGAACCAGTTCAAATGCCTGCTACTGAAGAAGACATTATGAAAATTCCAGAAAAGATGCTTGATGAAACTAGTGAAGTATCTACTGAAGAAAAATTTGTGGTTGGTATGTGTATTTATAGCTTTGAAATTAAAGCAGGTTTACATATGCCACACTGTCTTCAAAGTCTTTGTGGTTGGTATACAGGCTGATATTAAGGTATTCAGTGCTATTAGCTGCAAGGAAGATGCTGCTGCTTTATAAAAAGAATTGCATTATTTGATGAGCATGGTGAAAAAAGGGCACATGATTTAATTATAATAAGTACAAGTCAATTAGAATTTTGATGGAAATATCCCTAACAAATGTATGAAAGAAAATCTTGATGTTTTGGTTGATCATCTCCTAAGTCATCCAAGCATTGTGCTGTTGCTAGTGGTAAGGCAAATAGGATTTTAGATCTTGGGCTCCTTATCTTTGGAAGAACATTAAATTTTTTGTAAAGAGTTCAGAGAATGACTACAAGGATAATAATTGTGATGGGAATGTTGTCATATGAAAGCAGTATAAGAGTATGAAATAGTTTTCTCTTGAAAAATGAAGAGTTAGAGAGGATGTCTATTTCAAACATACAATGAGAATCTAATTATATTCAAGATAATATGAATGTGGTACAGGGTGTTTCAAAAATTGTCATTGTCAATTAGCATGTCAAGCCTATCATTAAATGAATCTCAAGAAGCTTCTGTTCAGATCATTGTTCATCACAATATTCTGTGCACTGACAAGTTTCATTCAAAACACTAATTTTCTTGTTGACAGAAGTGAAAACAAAGGTAGTTTTAAGAAAAGCTCTTTCGGCTTCAAACACCCTTTTCTATATCTCCAAACTTTCCTGAATAAAAAATTATGATTCTCAGTGTGAAATATATGCTCCCCTAGAACAAGTACAATTTTAAATATGGGGTTTTCTTACTAATCATCCTTAATAACTATTACTACTAACAATTTATTAGCCATACATATTATATTTTTTTTTATTAAATAAGCAATTTTGATGTTTATGCATTTTTCTTACAGATTTACATGGTAAGATATGTCAGTAATATTTGGACATTGTCAAAAAACAAAAATATCTGGACATTATTTTATCTTATACATAAAACTGTATCCTTATTCTCAATTTCAAGGAACTAACTCCATGCTGCATTAAACATTTCAAATTTTACTTGCATGTAGTACGTGAGTATGCCCCTAAGTGTTCATTTCCTTGGAGATCAGAAGAAAGTCATGTACAGTATAAAATACTAAAACATTGTAAGAACTTGGGTTGTTAATAATCTCATCTTAACAACACTAGTGTTTTGAAACTAAGCTACAGGCTTGAGATTGATAACTGGTTGTCACAAGAACAAGGCCCATAGTTTACCATACAAACAGATAAAGAAACTAAGGACAAACGTATAATACACAAAAAAGTTAGGATTTTTGTCACTAATGTACAAATTTTAGGCCCATAAAACTGTCAAAAATAAAACTAGCAACCACCAGACTATGTATAATCAACAGATAGAAACATCTTTCCAGTAATGATGCAGGCTTAGTGCACAGTCACAGGTAAACTAACAAACATGAGAGCTCTTGTTCCAGAGAAAAACAGTGTACAGTCACATACATACAAAGGAACCCAACCCTAGGATATGGGAGCAGAAGTATCTCTACAACACAGAAGGGGCTGAATAATGTGTTGTTCTTGCAATGTCATAAGGAGTGAATATATTCACTGGATTGAATAATGTGTTGTTCCTACACTGTCAAAAGGAGTGAATATATTCACTGGATTGAATAATGTATTGTTCTTACACTGTCATAAGGAGTGAATATATTCACTGGATTGAATAATGTGTTGTTCTTACACTGTCAAAAGGAGTGAATATATTCACTGGATTGAATAACGTGTTGTTCTTGCACTGTCATAAGAAGTGAATCTATTCACTGGATCTTAACAGTTGCCAAGATCTTCATCACAGCTAACAACACAAGAAAGTTTCTTTAGCAACTATAACTATTTTAAGTTTGTGGTTCTATCTGAGAACTCCAAGGTAGAATCTACCTTGCTCACTACGGTTATATGTACATGTAAATTGACTTACAGGCAATTCACTTCAACTTCAAAAGATGTGTAAATTTCAGCATCTTTGAAAATTTGTAATTTCAACTATTTAGAAGTAAATAAAATAGCATTTTATAGAAAATTACTAGTCAAGAAACATTACTTATATTATATATCAGTAGCATGCAAAATGCAATTATATCTACATAAGCCTGATACAAAAAAGTTTTCTGGGGAATGCCCCACCCCACCCCAACTTGAGGCTCACTCCAACACCTGTGGCTGTAATATAAGTAATGTAAGTTTAGAACGTACTCTTGTTACACCAGATTCCAGTAAGTTGTTGCCAGTCGCATTACTTCCCTTAATACCATCACCAGACTTCAAGATGATACAGCCAGTGGCATCTCTTTTCTCATCATCATTTAATATCTTTACATCTTTCTGTATACTGGATACTACAGCTTCAAATGATATTTTCTCAGATTCTGTAGTGATTTCTTCATGATTATCAGTTCTTAATTTCTGGCTGGGTTCTAGACCTGATTCAACTTTCTCTTCAGATATATAGATAGGTTCTTCTGATGTTTTTTCTGGAACTTCTTTAACCAATACTTGTAAGTATTGTACAGCGGATTCAACTTTCTCTTCAGATGATATATTGGCAAGTTCATCTATTTTATCCAAAATGCCTTCAACATCTGGCTCTTGAACTGATTCTATAAGTTCAACGACTTTGAAGACAGTGTGGCATATGGTAAACCTGCTTTAGTTTAAAAGATGTAAATACATATACCAACAGCAAAGACTTTGAAGACAGTGTGGCATATGTAAACCTGCTTTAATTTGAAAGCTGTAAATACATATACAAACAGCAAAGACTTTGAAGACAGTGTGGTATATGTAAACCTGCTTTAATTTGAAAGCTGTAAATACATATACAAACAGCAAAGACTTTGAAGACGGTGTGGCATATGTAAACCTGCTTTAGTTTAAAAGATGTAAATACATATACCAACAGCAAAGACTTTGAAGACAGTGTGGCATATGTAAACCTGCTTTAATTTGAAAACTGTAAATACATATACAAACAGCAAAGACTTTGAAGACAGTGTGGTATATGTAAACCTGCTTTAATTTGAAAACTGTAAATACATATACAAACAGCAAAGACTTTGAAGACAG